ACCTTTACATTTACAACCCTCATAATCAGTCCTGATAACAATTATTCACTATTGTATCACAAGAGACCTATATGCATTCCTTTCATCAGCTTCGCCTAGACAGATTGGATACTACTCAGTGGAGATTCTACCTTCCTCCACTCCCTCTGGATCTAGGTTCCCTCTTGAAAGCTTGTAAGCCAGTTACTTCTTGCCTTTGTAGCCTCCCCGCCCCCCGATTTTGGATAGCCAACGTCCAAGTTGCCCATTCCTGTCTACTCTGTGTATGGGGTGGGAATGATCCTTGCTTTAAATAATTTTTCCCTCTTTTGAGCTACTGCATCCATAGGTGTGGGTCAAGTTCATCAAATTGTATCAGATTACTCTTTTTTTCCTCCTCTTCTTCTTCTAGTTGAGTTCTGATCATCCAGTCATTGAAGCTAGATCAAGTGGGTACTATCTGCAAGTGTGGGTGTTCTTGTACATATGCCCTCTGTTCTTATCAGCTGGATGCTTCACTCTCCACTCTAGTCCTCTATGGCTATGTCACTGACTCTGGGCCAAAGAGTCCCCAGGTCTTGCCACACTGCTGGCCAACCAGGTCTCCACCGGGGTTCATGGGAGTCTATTGAATGTTGTAGGACTTAGCTTGCAGTTTCATTGCTGTTTTTCCCTCACTTCCCCTTATTGGTAACCAACACGTGGTCACCAATCAGAGCATGTATTCCCATTGAGTCTTAGTCTTGGAAGGGGGTTTACCCTGAGGGGACCCAACCATTTGCCTTGATGTCTCTTAGGCAAGCAACTTGCTTGTTCTTGTAGTAATCAGTCAGTCTGCCTATATTGTTTTGTATTTTTCCTGTAGGTCTTTCTTTCAAGAAGTATCTTCTGTTCTTATAGCTGTTCCAGGCTTGTCTGCTTGTCCTTTCAAGTGGAAATTTCCCACCTCTGAAGATTACGGATGTGTTTCAGCATTCTACCTATAGTCTTATGTAATGCAGAGGCTCCGCAGGAAGCCTCCTTCATTGGGCACGTTGTAGCCCCATTTTAGGTATTCCAATCAGTTATAGGCAGAAGACAGACTTACAAGCTTTCTATGGTGATATTTCTGGCTATTCCTGATCTCTCACCCTCCAATGTCTATTTTATAATGGTATGCAGGGGAAACCAAGATTCAAAAGACAGCCAAGCATCTTAACATTATTTCCCCCCTTTTGCCCATTCCAACCATGTCTCAATCCCCGTATACCAGAGCCCTATTGTTCCAAGTTTGTGCATATATCATTATTTACCTCTGTCCCACTTAACCCATACAAACCTGCCTAATTTTTCTCCCATCTGCTTTATTCTCCAACATCCTTGCTTTTAAGCAACATTCTGGCCGTACTTTTTCCAGCACAAATTTATGTGTTGTTCTGGCAGTCCATGGTACTTTTAATATTGTTCTCCAACACCATCATTCAAATTGTATCAATTCTTCTGCAGTCTTCTTTTTCCATTGTCCAAATTGTACATGCATATGAGATGGTTGACAATACCATGGCTTGGGTCCAACACATCTTAGTTCTCAAAGTGACATCTTTGCTCTTTAATACTTTCAAGAGATTTTGTGCAGCAGATTTTCTTAGTGCAATAATTCATTTGATTTCTTGACTGCCCTTGTATTGATTTAGAGATCATCTGAAGACCAGATTTGATACATTAAACACTAAAGACCAAAGACCAGAATAGTTGTGGGATGACATCAAGAACATCATACTTGAAGAGAACAAAAAGTCATTAAGAAGACAAGAAAGAAGGAAAAGGTCAAAATGGATGTCAGAAGAGACTCTGAAACTTGCTCTCCAGCGTAGAGATGCTAAAGCAAATGGAAGAAATGAGGAAGTCCAAGAGCTGAACAGAAATTTTCAAAGATCAGCTCGAGAAGATAAAGGCAAATATTATAATAAAATGTGCAAAATTTGGAATCAGAAAACCAAAAAGGAAGAACAAGGTCAGCATTTCTCAAGCTGGGGGAACTGAAGAAAAAATTCAAACCTCGATTTTCATTATTGAAAGATTCTCTGGGCAAATATTGAATGATTCAGAAACATAAAGAGAAGATGGAAGGAATACACAGAGTCACTGTACCAAAAGGAAATGGTTAACCAGGACCAAGAGGCAGGTATTCAAACAAAACATGGGAACACTGTGTATTTTAAAATTTAGAAAGGAGTGCTACAAGGTTGTATTCTCTCACCATACATATTCAACCTGTATGCTGAGCAAATAATCTGAGAAGCTGGGTTATATGAAGAAAAACGTGGCATCAGGATTGGAGGAAGACTCATTAACAACCTGCGATATGCAGATGATACAACCTTGCTTGCTGAAAGTGAAGAGGACTTAAAACATTTACTGATGAAGATCAAAGAGCACAGCCTTCAGTATGCAATACATCTCAATGTAAAGAAAACAAAAATCCTCACCACTGGACCAATAAACAACATTCTTATCAATGGAAAAAAGTTTAAAGTTGTCAAAGACTTCATTCTTCTTGGACCAACTATGAACACTCACGGAAGCAGCAGTGAAGAGATCAAACGACGTATTGCATTAGGCAAATCTGCTGCACAAGACCTTTTTCAAATGTTGAAAAGGTGTCGGCTTGAGAACTAAGGTGCGCCTGACCCAAGCTATGGCATTTTTAATAACCTCACATGTTTGCAAAAGCTCGACAGTAAATAAGGAAGACCGTAAAAGAATTGATGCCTTTGAGTTATGGTATTGGAGGAGAATATTGAAAGTGCCATGGACTGCCAAAAGAACCAATAGATCCATTTTGGAAGAAGTGGAGCCAGAGTGCTCCTTAGAGGCCAAAATGGCCAAACTTTGTCTCTCATACTTTGGACATATTGTCAGAAGGAAACACTTGCTGGAGAAGGATATCATGTTTGGTAAGGTGGAGGGTCAGAAAAAAAGAGGAATACCGCCTCCCCCTCCCCCCCAAGCTGGATTGGCCAAATGGCAGCATTGATGGAGTCAAGCATGGCAACAGTAGTGAAGTTGGCCCAGGATCGGGCAGTGTTTCGTTCTGCTGTGCATAGGTCACTACGGATCGGTACCAACTCGATGGCACCTAACAACAACAACAACTTACATGGATGTTGATAGTGAATCCAAGCAAAATTAAGTCTTTGACAACTTCAATCTTTTCTCCATTTATCATGATGCTCCTTATTGGTCCAATTGTGAGGATTTTCATTTTCTTTACATTGAGGTGCAATCCATACTGAAGGCTGTAGTCTTTGATTTTCATCAGTAAGTATTTCAAGTTGCATCTAGTAAGTAAGGTTGTGTCATCTGCATATCACATGTTGTAAAGATTCTTCCTACAATCCTGATGCCACATTCTTCTAAATAGAATCCTACTTCTCATATTATGTGCTCAGCATAAAGATTGTATAAGTCTAATGAAAGGATGCATAGCTGGTACACACTTTTCCTGATTTAAAATGGTTCAGTATGTCCTTGTTCTATTTGAACAACTACCTCTTGGTCTATGTGCAGGTTCCTCATGAACACAAGTTATGTTCTGGAATACCCATTCTTCACAATGTTATCAGTAGTCTGTTATGATCCACACAGTTGAATGTGCTTGCATAGTCAATAAAACACAAGTGGACATCTTTCTGCTCCTCTGCTTGCAGCCAAGATTAATCTGATAAGAACAATGATATCCCTTATGTGTCCTTTTCTGAATTTAGCTTCACTTTCTGCCAGTTCCTTGTCAATGTCCAACTGCAATCATTTAAAAATTATCTCCAGAAAAATTTTAGTTGCATGTGATACTAATGTTATTTTCCCATGATTTCTGTATTCCATTGGGTCAGCTTTCTTTGGAATGAGCTCAGAATATCCATCTCTTTCAATTGGTTCGCCATGTAATGGTCTTCCAAATCTCTTAACATTGACCACCGAAGACCTCCAGTGTTGCATCAGTTTTTGAAACATTTCAACTTGTATTTATCAATGCCTTCAGTACAGCTTGAGAATCTTCCTTCAATAACAGTAGTTGTTCATTTGATGATACCTCCTGAAATGACTGAACATCAGCCAGTTCTTTTTGGTGCAGTACCTCTGTTATTCCTTCCATCTTCTTTTGATGCTTCCTGCATCATTCAATATTTTTCTCATAGAATTCTTCAGTATTGCAACCCAAAGCTTGAGTTGTTTCTTCAGTTCTTTCAGCTTGAGAAATGCTGAGAATGTTGTTCCCCTTTTTGTTTTTTAACTCCAGGTCTTCCCCCAT